TGCAAGGCGAATGAAAGCCTTTTCAGTGGGACAAATTTAACGGTTTCATAGGATTTGAAACTAATATAACACGTATCATGTGTCATCCTGATGACTGTAAACGGAACAGTATTTTAGCGGAAATGCCTTGGCTTGCGAGGTGATTCAAAAGGCTGGAACGCGATTTTAATGACCTTAAAGTCCGTGCTTTGAACGCGATCTCTAAATTTGGAATCCTCCTGTCTACGGTTGAACAACCAGACAGTATCCCAGCCTTCTCGCTTTTTTGAATGGCATGGCAACTGAGGACCGCGAGTGCGTTGCAGCTCTACAAAGTGAGAAAATCTTAAAATGAGTCGACTGATGTTGCGTGAGAGGAAATGGCACTCTTGCGCTACGGTGTTGTAGTGTGCTTATTATTTTGTCACAGTGCTTTGTTATAGAAAGAAAAAAGTGTAATCGGCACCCAAACAAGAATAATGGAACAAAAGACCAAAGAAATCCTACTTATTTCTTTTGTGTGCACCCAGCACAACACATGATGAGATAATAAATTATTATAATAATTTATAGAAAACTGCCGATCTTAAGCTCGCGATGGGTTTCTTTGTATTTTCATAGCTTCCAAATCTACTAGCATCAATTTACGTCAAATCTTTATTAGGGACTCAGTTTTGGCTGGGCACTGTGACAGTTTACTTTTGTTGATTAAGCCTATATATTGGTAGTCGTTGAAATCCAGGAACCAAGGATTTTGCAATGTAACGTTGCATAGTTTTTACCATAAGAAAGTAATCAGGCAACCAAACAACAAACTGGAGCTGGCTTTTTATTTGAGGTTCATAATTTAAAATAAGTCCACTAAACTTTGTCTCATTTCTTGCGGGCAGCAACATAACAGGCAATTTTAATGGTTGCGGGATCTGAAGCATTTGGTTTCACGTCAGTATCGCATAAATTGTTGTCTGCCGGGACAAGCGCCATTCCGGAGGCGAGAGTAAACGGTACAGTTGTGTTTGTTAACGATTTCAGGAATGCAAAACCATTAACTGGAGTAAACTTAATGATTGGTATTTCATCCATATTCAGCGTGCTCAAATAGACTAGTGATAGCACACTAGCCCTGTGCCAGGTTCCACAATCGTAATTTTTGGGAGAATGCGCAGCACATATCCAGTTTTGGTAGTTTTCAAAAAACTGCTGGATGCATACAGCAATTCTCGGGGTGGAAACCTTAAATACGTAATACCAGAACGTGAATAATACGTCCTTCGTTCGAAACTTGCATGACATGAAAGTTCAGCGATTATCTTGTCTACGTTTTAATCTGTCTCAAACGAGTCCCCTTTATAAATAGAGCAAAATATTTCTCTTGTTATATACACCCTCTAAAACATGTATCTCCAGGCCGGAATAAATAAAATAGAAAAACACGAATTTAATTTTTTATGTCTCGTAATCTACGAGCCAAGTGGATTAGTAGGCCTTCTGGTTGCCCAAATTTATCTTGCATTAAGCGCATTGCATGTCAAATATCCAAACCAGAATATCATTCTTTTTGGTTTTGGCGAGCACGTCAGAGCGGAGCACTGAATTTTTGGAATTTTTATTCCCGTATAATTTGTTCGATGTGTCAAATGTATTTGCAAACCTGTCAACTTCTGGTGGGAATAAATTGAGTTTACATAATGGTTTTAAAAAGTCAAGTTTAAACTAATTATTGTGGTTATTTGCAGAAGCATTGTAGAAAAGTATTCGAGTTTCCAAAAAATAGTCGTCGGCATAAGTGCAGAACTTGACCGTTAATACAACAGACGTAGAAAACTGTTCTGTTTAAAACTTGCCTGATGCATTTGGATAAAAAGAAGGCCATAAATAAGATTCAAGAATTAAAAAAAACGCGGATTGTACTTGTAGTTCCCCGGTTGCATCAAGTTTGCAAAGTTTGTCGATACTTTCAAATATTATTTTATTTTTGCGTGTTCTTTATCGTGACACAAAAAAAGCGCAGTAAATCGCGGTGTGTGGGTAATCATTTACTAAATTGATGCGCTAATAATTCATCCGGAACTGATGCAAAAAATTATCTAGATTCTAGAATAGCTGGCAAGATACATATACGGGTACCTCTGTGTAAGTGCTACAAACAGTTGCGCGGCTGACTTGTTCAAAGTTAGATGTGTAAAAACTGCCAGCTTTCCGCCAAATTATGAGCAGATCTGGGCAAAAACAATAACAAAATAAGACGCCCATAAACGAAAACTTTGGTTCAGTTTACGGCAAAACCATGATGGGAGTGATATAAAAAAGCTCAAAAGGTTAAAA